TGTTGGTACATGCACCTGATCCGAAGCAAACTTATTTAATAAGATAACCAAATTCCTTTTAGGTTTTTCTTTTTTTTTTTAAATTTTTTTTATTGTTGGTTGTTCAAAACATTACAAATTTCTTGATATATCATATTTCACACTTTGATTCAAGTGGGTTATGAACTCCCATTTTTACCCCATATACAGATTGCAGAATCACATCAGTTACACATCCATTGATTTACATATTGCCATACTAGTGTCTGTTGTGTTCTGCTGCCTTTCCTATCCTCTACTATCCCCCCTCCCCTCCCCTCCCCTCCCCTCCCCTCTTCTCTCTCTACCCCCTCTACTGTCATTCATTTCTCCCCCTTGTATTATTTTTCCCTTTCCCCTCACTTCCTCTTGTATGTACTTTTGTATAACCCTGAGGGTCTCCTTCCATTTCCATGCAATTTCCCTTCTCTCTCCCTTTCCCTCCCACCTCTCATCCCTATTTAATGTTAATCTTCTTCTCCTGCTCTTCGTCCGTACTCTGTTCTTAGTTACTCTCCTTATATCAAAGAAGACATTTGGCATTTGTTTTTTAGGGATTGGCTAGCTTCACTTAGTATAATCTGCTCTAGTGCCATCCATTTCCCTGCAAATTCTATGATTTTGTCATTTTTTAATGCAGAGTAATACTCCATTGTGTATCAATGCCACATTTTTTTTATCCATTCGTCTATTGAAGGGCATCTAGGTTGGTTCCACAGTCTTGCTATTGTGAATTGTGCTGCTATGAACATCGATGTAGCAGTGTCCCTGTAGCATGCTCTTTTTAGGTCTTTAGGGAATAGACCGAGAAGGGGAATAGCTGGGTCAAATGGTGGCTCCATTCCCAGCTTTCCAAGAAATCTCCATACTGCTTTCCAAATTGGCTGCACCAATTTGCAGTCCCACCAGCAATGTACAAGTGTACCCTTATCCCCACATCCTCGCCAGCACTTGTTGTTGTTTGACTTCATAATGGCTGCCAATCTTACTGGAGTGAGATGGTATCTTAGGGTGGTTTTGATTTGCATTTCTCTGACTGCTAGAGATGGTGAGCATTTTTTCATGTACTTGTTGATTGATTGTATGTCCTCCTCTGAGAAGTGTCTGTTCAGGTCCTTGGCCCATTTGTTGATTGGGTTGTTTGTTCTCTTATTGTCTAATTTTTTGAGTTCTTTGTATACTCTGGATATTAGGGCTCTATCTGAACTGTGAGGAGTAAAGATTTGTTCCCAGGATGTAGGCTCTCTATTTACCTCTCTTATTGTTTCTTTTGCTGAGAAAAAACTTTTTAGTTTGAGTAAGTCCCATTTGTTGATTCTAGTTATTAACTTTTGTTCTATGGGTGTCCTATTGAGGAATTTGGAGCCTGACCCCACCGTATGTAGATCGTAGCCAACTTTTTCTTCTATCAGACGGCGTGTCTCTGATTTGATATCAAGCTCCTTGATCCATTTTGAATTAACTTTTGTGCATGGCGAGAGAAAGGGATTCAGTTTCATTTTGTTGCATATGGATTTCCAGTTTTCCCAGCACCATTTGTTATCCTTCCTCCATTGCATGCTTTTAGCTCCTTTATCAAATATAAGAAAGTTGTAGTTTTGTGGATTGGTTTCTGTGTCCTCTATTCTGTACCATTGGTCCACCCGCCTGTTTTGGTACCAGTACCATGCTGTTTTTGTTACTATTGCTCTGTAGTATAGTTTGAAGTCTGGTATCGCTATACCGCCTGATTCACACTTGCTGCTTAGCATTGTTTTTGCTATTCTGGGTCTTTTATTTTTCCATATGAATTTCATGATTGCTTTCTCTATTTCTACAAGAAATGCTGTTGGGATTTTGATTGGCATGGAGCACAATTTTTCATGTCTCTGGTTGTACACAAAGTGGAGTCACACCATTCATGTCTTCATACATGTACCTAGGGTAATGATGTTCGTCTCATTCCACCATCTTTCCTACCCCCCCTTTTTTTTAAGACATGAAATCTTTTTAAAAATATTTTTTGTTGTAGATGGACAGAATATCTTTATTTATTTATTTATTTTCATGCAGTGCTTTATTTATTTATTTATTTTCATGTGGATCTAATCCAGTGGCTCATATGTACTAGGCAAGTGCTCTACCATGGAACCACAACCCCAGCCCTGATCTCATGTTTTTAAAGAATAAGATAATGACTTATTAATGACTTTTAATACTTATTAATGACTTATAATACTTTCAAGAAGTATTCCCTCTTCTTGAAATCTTCTTCAGGTCAGCAGCATAAGCCCTTCCAATAAGCAACAACAACAAAATCATTACATCAAACATCAATACAATACACCTGCCACCAACATCCTGAGCCCATGTCCCTTGCACATGAACCCAGGAGTTACAATAGAAGTAACCAAAGTAAATGCCTATTTTTCTCTCTACATTTCTTTGCTTCTTTAGTCAACTAAGTCTGGTTTCTGTCTTTGTTACTCAACCTTAATGGTTGATGTCACAAAATTCAATGTGTATAATTACTTGTAAAAGAATGGTTCCAAGTTGAGTGTGGTGGTGCACACCTATAATCCCAGTGACTCAGGAAGCTGAGGCAGGAGGATCACAGGTTAAGGCTAACCTCAACAACTTAGCAAGACCCTATCTCAAAATAAAAGATAAAAAGGATTGAGATGAGTTCAATCCCCAGAACTCCCCGCAATGAACAAACAGGCAAATAAAACATGTTCCAGCCTAGATATTCCTCCTTTGAGAGATTTCTATACCCCCAAATTTATGGACATTTCTAGTTGCATATTCTATGGTTGCTCCAAACTCAGCTTGTTCCAAGCTCATTATCTTCTCCCAAACCCGTGGTCTCCCAGTTTGGTGAACCATTAAATTACCCAAATAAGAACCACTCAGACAATATTTTATTTTATTTTTGAACAGCTTTATTGAAGATACTTGACATACCTCAATAAATTGCACATATTTACTGATCTGATTTTCTGTCAGTACAGATTCATTCTCAGTTATTAGAATTTTTTAAATGTTTAATTGATACAAAATAATCGTACATATTTGTAGGGTGTATTGTGATAATTCAATACATGTATACAAGTGCAATTTAAAAATCAGGGAAAATAGCATTTCCAGCTCTTTAAAATTTATCATTTCTTTGTGTTGGGTACTTTTAAACTCTCTTCTACTTCTTTATAAATATATAAAATTGTTAAAAAACTACAGTCACCTCATTAGTTGGACTATATCCATACAATAACTTGATCCTTATTCCTCTAATTTAAATGTATATATTTAGTTACTGTTATCTAGTTCCCTTTTACCCTTGCTCCCCCCTCTTCCCTTTTTAGCTTCTCTCTAGTGACCTCTATTCTACTTTTTATTTCTGTGAAATCAACTTTTTTAGCTTTCACAAATGAGTGGAAACATGATATTTATTTTTCTGTGCCTAATTTATTTCATTTAGCATAATATCCTCTAATTCCATCTGTGTTGCTACAAGTGACAGGATTTCATTCTTTTTTGACTGAGTAATATTCCATTTGTGTGTATGTACTACATATTCTTCATCCATTCATTCATTGATGGACATTTAATTTGATTCCATATCTTGCCTATTGTGAATAGTGCTTAAATCAACATAGGAGTGCAGGCATTTCTCTGCTTTTACAATTTTATACAAATGGAATCATTCAACATATACTCTTTTTTGTTTGTCTTTTTGCACTGAGCATAATTATATGTATTAATATTTCATTGCTTTTTATCAGGGAGCATCAAACTATTATATGGACATAACCTAATTTGTTCATTCATTCATGACAATTATATTGTTTTCAATTTGGGACTATTTCAAATAAAGTTGCTATTTCATGCACAAGTCTTTGTATGGACATATGCTGTTGTTTCTCTTGTTTAAATTTTTGGGAGGGGGATTTCTGGGTAATATGATAGACAGTTTTATGTATTAAATTCTAAAGAAACTTCAGAGCATGACTTTTCACTTTCTGTAGTAGTGATGATTGGTGGCTATCCCAGCATCTATCTCATATTCCACCGCTTACCCTTTACTGCCTCTTCTTCCACAGGATTAAAAAAATGACACTTGCTTTCCCAGCTGCCTTTGCATCTGTGGCCAGGGCATGTGGCTCCACTTGGCTGTGAGGACCTGAAGAACCAGAAGGAAATGAGAAGGTAGGTAGAATTCTGAGGATGTAACAGAAGGACTCCTTGGTGCTCCCTGTTGTAGAGGGTGGTGTACAGAGGGCATTTCCTCCCAGAGCTTGTAGCTTCCTTCCACACTTTTCTCAGAGTACCCAGTCCTCCAAACTCTCTAGCTCATTGCCAGATCCCCCCAGGCCCTGAAAGTGACTCTTCACAACTGTCCTCTGGCCGGGGGGCCACATGACTGGCTGGCATGCCCATCCCTGGATCCCAGAGGTGGCTGCGTGCAGGAGAAGATGCACTGGAGTGTCCACATTGCATGTGTGTAAGGAAGGGTCCCTAAGGTCCCTGGCCTGCTTATTTTCTTGCCTATCACCAGCATGCTGAGGATTGTCCTTAATGACATCTTAGAGTCTCCAAACCTTTCTCCCAGCTGGCCTGCCTCTGGTTTTTGCCCTTTATAGTTGAGTCCTCTTTTCCTTGCTGTTCAAAGCAACCATCCTGGCTGATGGTCTTTAACTTCTTTCTCCACCAAGTTCTTTTACTCTATTTCCTTAGGAATCCTTAAATCTGTTCACTTTTCTCAATCCCTTTGCCCTTGTCCTAGGCCAATTTAACTTCACCTGGATTATGGCAAGTTCTGAAGATTATGCTTTTAGTACAGCTATAAAATACCTCTTTCCTAAAGTCACTAGGTCTAAATCCCAGCTTGTTTCTTATGAGCTTAGTAATTTCTCTGTGCCAAAATCAACAGTAATTTTCTGCCAACATGGTTGTGAGGGTTAAAGGTAACAAACCAAACACAGCATTTAGCACAGTTTCTGGTTTTTAAAACATGTTTCTCACCAGTGTGGTTATATATGCCTCTAATCCCAGTGATTTGGGAGAGACCAAGGCAAAAGAATGGCAACTTTGAGGCCTGACGGACTCTGTCTAAAAATAAAAAATGAAAAGGTCTGAGATGTTGCACCTCTTGAGTTCAAACCCCAGTACCCCCAAAAATGTTTATCATATTTTTTCTAACATCTATATAATTGCTTGTGGTTTTTTCTGTGTTTAGAAACAAAGCAAAGACATCATCAACTGGTTAAATCCTACTCAATTTAAAACCCCAGTTGAAGTTCCAGCTCCTTCAAGAAAGACTGCTCGATCCATTTACCTCTCTATCCCCCCACCAGGTAAACTGCTACATACTTTATGGTTCTTTTCCTCCCTCCACCTCCCCCTTCTCCTTCTTTTTCTTCCTCTCCCTCTCCCTCCTCTTCTTCTTTCTTATTGAATTCTGCACTAGTTGATGATGAACTCTTTGAGGGCTAGGATGGTGTCTTCAGCATTGAAAAAAAAAGTTTATTGGCATAAAGTCCCAGGAGGAGATGAGTATTAGTTAAAACTAGGATTCTTATATACTGTAAGAGTCTAACTCTAGGGCATTCTGGAAAAGGCACAGCTATGAAGAAGAGAAAATGATCAGTGGTTGCTAGGAGTGTTGGGGAGGTGGGGATGGACAGGCAGAGTGTGGGAGTTGTTTAGGGTGGTGAAACTGTGCTGTATAAAACTATAATGCTGGAGGTATGTCGTTATATGTTTGTTCAAACCTATAGGACATATGACACCAAGAGTGATTGTTGCTATTATCTATTATTTATCATTTAAGAAGTGCTATAGAGCGTGCGGTCTGCCATGAGAAAGTCACACTTAAGATGGTGTCTGAGGACAGGGAGGAGTTAACCCAATTAAAAGGCTCTTCAAAGAGCCTCGGGACCAGAGAGAACACTGTGTTCCAGGACCTAGAAGCAGACAAGAGAGGAACTACAGGCAGGTCAGGCTAGTTGGGGCATAGTGAGCTAAGGAAATAAGACTGGGGAGGTGAGAGAAGGGCAGACCATAGAAGGTGTGAAGCCAAGGTTAGGGCTGGAGGTTGTACTCTAAGAATGATGAAAGCCACTGAAATATTCAAAGTAGGAGAGTGTACTGTCAGATTTGAATTGTAAAAATTGATATTTATATAAATCTACAAATGTATATATGTGTGTGTATTTATATATATGTATGTATAGATATATATACTATGTAAGATAATGGATCATGAAGAACAAGCTCAAAGTGGCTTGACCAGGAAAGTGAGTACTTTGACAGCCAGGTCAGGTAAATGGTAAATGTGAAATACTTACCTCCTTGCCGGTATACTCCATGTGGTCATGAGCCATGCAGACAGTGGAAGAAGAAGAAAGCAAGCTTGCAAAATAGGCAGAAAATGTGAGCAGTCAGCTCATGGGATGATAAAGTTGAATAACTTGATATAGTTGATGATACATAATGCTTTTTAAAATAATCTTTACATCAATGATGAGTAGTAATAAAATAATCACCACATTAAATATTTAATGAGTGTTTGCTATGTGTTGGGCAACTGCTCTCTGCTCTTTACATAGATGAAATAATTTCATCCTTATCCCAGTTATCTGTTATTTCATTGCAAATGCTCTAAAATATAGTGCTTAAAACAACAGCAATACATATTTTGCTCCCAAACCTGCAGCTTGGGTGGGGGTTGGGGGCTGCAAGGAGATTGTTGATGATCCACTTTGTGTTAGCTAGGACAGCTCAGAGTTTGAGGGGCAGAACCTCTGGAGCTTGCTCATTTGCATGCCTGCGATAGATGCCAGCTGTGTGCACTCTTCTTCTGTTGCACTCAACACACTATATTGCAATCTATTTGTTTAATGTCCAAACATCTGATGGACTTTGGGGTCCTCCAGAGCATGAACCATCCTATTTGTCTTTGTATCACCACTGTTTGGGGCACCATCGCACAGTGGCTGCTCCATAAATGTTCACTGAATAAGGAAAAAAGGAATGTATTCTGACTCTTACTAATAGAATATCTTCCTTCATTAAATAAGAAATTCTCCAGCTTCTGCCTGAACACTCTTCATGACTAGATTTTTGTAACTTTCTAAGGCTCCAATTTTCTTAGGAAATTTTTCTTTGTACTTAGCTAGAATCTGCTTTTGTGTAACTCCTGCTTAGCTGTTTCTGCTCAGGACTCATAGAACTGCACAGCATGAGTCTAAGCCAACTTCCACAAAACATCCAGCCCCTCAGTGGTAACATCACAGACCACCTAAATCCTCTCTAACACCCCAGTTCTTACATTGTCCCACATGGATGTAGTTTCCATGGTTACCTTCCTTTAGAGTCATTCTTATATGCACAGAGGCCCAGGATAAAATGCCTGGGGAAATATTAATGGTGAGCCTAAAGATGAAGGAATGAAGTGGAATGGAGCACCATTCTGAGCTGAGTGTGCTGGAACAGGCCTGTAATCCCAGCTATTCAGGAGGCTGAGTTAGGAGGATTGCAAGTTTGAGGCCAGCCTGGATGATTTAGCAAGATCAGCTTAAAATAAAAAATCAAAACGGCTGGGAATGTAGCTCAGTAGTAAAGCACCTGTGGGTTCTATCATTAGTGCCAAACACACAGACAAAACAATAACAGCACATATTTTAAGGCCATGGTAAGCAAATGGGTTTAAATGGGAAGTGCAAGATGGGACTATGGAGTGAAGACGCAGGATGGGAGTAGGAAAGACCACAACCTATCATGGACCTCCCCTGGATAGGATCTTGGTGAGAAGCAGATGCAGAATGTGTGGGAAAGTCGTGTGAGGCATTGACTCATTAGAAATGGAGAAGAGAAAACAGGAAAATTGCAGAGGTCAGTTAAAACCAGTTACCCTCTTCTATGTTAACACAATCATTTTTCAAAGCATGCTGGTTAACCTGCAGTGCCTGAGCCCAGCCCCACACCTACTGAATGTGCGTGCATTCTTTGTAAACTCCAAGGTGAATCTTAAGTACATAGAAAACCTTGTTTTAAGGGCTGGGGTAAGATGGGAACTACTTACATTCAGATTTAGAGAGTGTTTTTTTTTTTTAAGTATTTATTTTTTAGGTGTAGATGGACACAACACAATGCCTTCATTTTTATGTGGTGCTGAGGATCAAACCCGAGTACCGCCCATGCTGGGCGAGCGCTCTACCGCTGAGCTACAAAAGAGCTGACTTTGATAAAAGATCGAATCACAATAATTCTTTTTTAAAATTGATTTATTTACTTATTTTAATGTGATATATATGTACAACCCAGAGAAATACAAAGTTGGGCTGCCTCACAATAATTCTTACAGGAAGTTCTCTTCTCCCCAGTTCCCTCCAGCCCCCCATCTTCAGGAAAAAAGCAGTTAAGATTTTAAATTCATTATACATTTCCATTCCCAGTCCCCAGTTTCATGGAAATATTAAATCCTTTCCCCTTTTCTACTGATGGATTTTAAAACGATTTTCCAATGCAGTTTTAGTTAAATGACAAATGGAAATTAAGAGTTGTTGTAACAAATAGATTTTTGGCTTAGAATCAGAAAGAAACTAAAATGGAATTTGCCTAAAGCTATGTTTTTTGCTCTTATGAAAATGTTTTAAGAATTTAAAAACTGAATATCTTGAGGAAACATCAGTGCACATTTTTTAAAATGAGGTTGCAACGGGTGCAAAATGCTGCCTTTTTACCAAAATTACTACACATCACTACAAAAAAATGTATAAAGACATCACTACACAAAAATGTAAAAACCAAATTTTTCATGTGGTGAAACTTTTGCTTTAATAAAATGATCCTGGGATGGCATTTCTTCAGATAGAAACCTCTATTTCTTTGCCTGTCTCTCCTGAATAGTAAAACACATATTTACAGATCAATAGATTCTTTTAATGAGATAAGGACAAGAGCAGTCTGAAATGGGGAGAAAGCATTAGCCATTTTTTTCACCAGAAGTCCCTGGGAAATAAATAAAATGAATTCACCTGCCGGTTGCAGTGGTACATGCCTGCAATCCCAGTGGCTCGGGAGGTAGGAGGATCACCAGACTCAAGTGAGGCACTAAGCAACTCAGTGAGATCCTGTCTCTAAATAAAATACAAAACAGGGCTGGGAATGTGGTTCAGTGGTCAAGTGCCCCTGAGTTCAATCCCTGATACTGAAGCAAAAAAATATGTATTCACTTACAGCCTTTCAAAAGCACTGCATTAAAAAGAAAGTCACTCACTGACTTGTTTAATTGAGATCTTCCACGGTAAATCAATGGGGGATTTCAAGGTGGCCAAGACACACAGTCCCCCTACCTTCCAGATAGAGCTCATCAACCACCAGAGCCCAAGGCCATCTTGACAAATGGAATAGAACAAAGTGCTTTGAGAATGAATGAATCTGATTGGGATGTTAAATTAGATGTTAATCTTAAATGATGGGCCAGATTTAAAAGCTGTCTTTTCTAAGCTTCAGTTTGGACTTCCTTCTTGGTTTCAAATTTTTGCAAGTTGTTCAGGAGAGTGATTTTTTTTTTAAAACATGTAGTGTGAAAAACTAAGATGAAGAGTAACTTCTTGCTTCTCAGTGTCTCGCTTGTGTAATTCCCTACAAACTTTTTTTGAGGGCAGAGAAATTCACATTTATTGAGGGCTGACTCTTTTGGAAGAATTGGACCCATTGTTACAGCACCCTTAAAATGTGTGTATCACTGTACTTGTTTTGCGAATGAGAAAACTGAGGTTCAGATATGGAATTTCAAGCCAGTAGAGCCTGCTCTTGCCACTACAGTCAGCTAGAAAATGGAGGAGGGGAGAGAGTGACAGATAAAAGGCTAATTTCACTGACAATTGTCTATTGTTAGTGGAGCTAATGGGTTGTGCCAACTAATTAGACCTAACAAAATGCTGCCTTTTTATCCAAAAAAAAAAAAAAAAAAAAAATGCAGGGTCTTAGATGAAAGAAGAACTAGAGATTCTTGAGAAATAGGAGTTGAAATTTTGCATGAGATTTCTTTGGTAATAAAATTAGAATGAGTCAAACTGCATGAAGGACACTGAGCATTGCACTTCAAGCACTTTGTTAAGCTATTTGTTTTACCTTTAGCAAAGTTTGTAATAGATATTAAGGTAAGATTACAGAAAATTTATTTTGTGAAATAGAAAAAAATTGCACAATATTCATTTACACAACTGACAAAGCTTTTGTTTATTTTTTTCTTCTTTTGGTATTGGTGATTAACCCAGGGGCATTTTATAACTGAGCTATGTCACCAACCATTTTTTTTTTTTTTTGAGACAGGTTCTCTCTAAATTGTTTAGGGTCTCTATAAATAGCTGAGGCTGGTCTTGAATTTATAATCCTCCTGCCCTAGCCTCTCAGATCACTGGGATTACAGGCATGTGCCACCATGTCCAGCCTGACAAAACTTTTAACTCTAGGCAAGAAATGAGAGAAAAAAAAAACTAAAGTAATTGGGTCAGAGAAATCAGAGAAAACCAGAGTTAAGCTGAAAAAATAGTTTGGTAACAAACAATAATGTAGAAAATCAAGATATGCTTCCTGAAGAAGGATAATTAGTCAAGAACAGAAAATAACAATATTCAAGATAAATATATTCTAGTTTTAGCTTTGTTACCTATATCCAATGTGGACCAGATAGATGTCAGCTACTCAAAGGAGTTTGAAGACTATGAATGTCTCAAAGTAGCTGAAGAGAGTCAACATATAACTCCTTCTAAATTAAAACTCTCCAGGGCCTCATCTCTCAAGGTAGCCAGTGAAGTTGGCTATGGCAGAGAGAGATTGAGATTAACCTTCAGTTTTTATTCACCATCAAACTCTCACCCTATTTATTTAATTTGCTCTGCATTTATCAATAGAAGTAAGGATATACTAATTATATATCTGAGTTCATAGATATATACACTATATATAAGTGTATTGTAGAAAATTTATATGTATACATGTTATAAGAAATGTTGGCTTCAATATACAGTTGCTGCCTTTGATAATACTATTCTGTTGATCTAGTTAAAGAAATAATCTCCAATCACAACTTTGGTGGCAGATTACCTTACAAAAGAGTTTCTATTGTCTGATGAGATGAACTTTTCACTGGTTGTTTTTTTTTTTTTTTGCCACCAATGATGGAAGTGATTTGTTAACTCTTCCCCCTGCCTCCACTGAATATCTCAGTCACTTCCTAACCAAAAGCAGATCTAGACTCTTAAACATCCATCAAACAAAATATTACCCTAAAAGGTCCAGACAAACACTTTAATTGAGATTAAATTGTGTATGGGATATAACATACTGTCTTTCCTATGTTTAAGATAATTTAGTATCTTTAATTTATTAAATAGATACTGTATCATAGCTGTTTAGCTTTTAGAACCTATCTACTTGAGTTAGAATTCTAGGTGTTCACCCAAAATAATACAATCCTAGCTCAGTAAAACAATGTGCTTATTCTTTTAAATATATCTGACATTCATGAATAAATTTAAGTGAATTTGAGTTTGTACATTTAATATTATCTCTTTGTTCCTTTTAACATGGGCTGTCCTGATCAACTTTTAAATTCTGCTACAAAAAGTAGGGAAGAATTTGCATGGAAGATAATGGATTTTTAAATATGGTCAACTCCCACGTGCCAAGTGTGGTGGCACATGCCTTTAATACCAGTGAATTAGGGGGCTAAGGCAGAAGGATCACAAGTTTGAGGCCAACCTTAGCAACTTAATGAGCCCCTGTTTCAAAATAAAAAAAATAGTACTGGCGTGGGATGTGACTCAGTGGTAAAGTGTCCCTAGGTTTGATTCTCAGTATGGAAATAAAATAAAATTGAGTAAGTAAATAAAGTCAACTTCCAAATAGCAGTAGTCTATATGACATTTAAATACCTATGATTTTTCAAGAATGAGAAAAATCAATCAGAACTATTTCTATTCTGTATGGTATAAGAAATTTATTCAAAATTATTTATTGACTTTCACTTCTGGAAAGAATCTTAGGCAGTTTTAAAAATATATGAAATTTTTCATGACAGTTAGCAAAAAGTAATACAATGGGAAAAAAATTAGATAAGCCATGAGATTAGTACTTGTGTCTTGGAATCCTGCATAATTGCTAAAAGAGGGCCACGATGACGAGTCTGATCTTTCTGGCAGCTGAGGGGGCGTGGCCAATTACAAAGTGGTTCATAGGACTGTGGAAGAGAAACTGGTGAAGTCACTCAGACATGCTGGGGAAGTTTATCTCACTTAAGACCTGTAATTGTTTGACAGAATGGCTCTCCCTCAATGCTGGGACAAATCAGCGATCCAAGGCCTAACCTGTGCCATGGCAGCACAGATGAAATAGGATCAGTGAGAAACATTTTTTTAAAAATATTTTTTTAGTTGTAGATGGACACAATACCTTTATTTGATTTATTTACTTTTTATGTGGTGCTGAGGATCAAACCCAGTGCCTCTATCACTGAGCCACAATCCCAGCCTCAGTGAGAAACATTTTTAAAGCAGGTTTCCCCCAAAACCATAAAAGTGCACACACACACACACATACAGCTCTCTACAGAAAGTCTGAGCAGCATACTTTCTGGGGAAGTTTCTGGATTAAATTCTTTGACAAAAATATAGCAGGGTGGGCATTGAATAAAATCACCTGCTAAATGTAGTCCTGAAGTCTGTCCGTTGTCTAGTGAGAGGTAGCTGCTAAGATGGACAGCTTTAGCTGCAGAGTAGTTGTCGGTGCTTTGCAAGCCAGGTGCCCCTCCCCCCACTATCTCACACCAGACCAGGCTCATATGTGATCAAAGACAATTTAATCTTCTGTCTTCCAATGTAGGGTACTTGCGCTGAAGAAACAACTTTCCGACACTTGGAGGTGGCCTCAGGAAGATGTGTGTGGTGACTGGGTATGTGAGTGTTAAACTTGCATTCAGAAGAGAAAACTAGTACAAATTTCAGGCCTAAAGAATGGAGAGACAAGATGCTGAGGAGGAGAGTGACAATCACAGGCATTGTGTTAGGCTCAATGCTATGTGTGACTTCTTGTGGTGCTTGGTATAACAGATTTTGTGGGGGTGCTATGAAAAAGCTTTTCATCCTCCAAAATAATTAAATAAAAAGGAGGATGCTCTGGAACGCTGCATAACTCTGGGGAATTTGTCTGCTCTGGAAAAAAGACTGAAAATAGGACATTGAATAGGATATGACTTATGAAACGTTTTAAGATTTTTTAAAATTCCACTTTAAGGAATTTGCAAATTCTTCAGTCTATAATGGTCAACAATGACATTCAAATGGGATGGACAAATGCCTTCCAATTTTTAAATTCAAAGTGGGGGCACATGAGGATGAAGTATGACCTAACACTATAGGGGAAAGAATTCTTCTTTTTACAAAACGTCAAAGACCCAACCAGAACATAACATTAAGTAATAAAGGAACAGGAGTCAAAGTAAATATATAACATAATGCCTATTTTGTTTGCTTATTTTGAATATGCAAATCTATAATGAGGACCTCCAAGTATTCTGGGTAAAAGAATTTCAGAACTTCACTTCTTTCTGTTTCTTCTCAATTTTCTATATTTATTTATTTAAGAACATATGAATGGCCTATGTATGTGTGTACTAGTTAACCTCTATTACTGGTTCCTTCTCTATTATTGGGGGGGAATAACATTGCTTTTAGAAAATGCACACAGGTTATATCTATGGTTGTTTTTCAACAATTCCCTGGCTACAAATAGCTTAAGTTGTATCATGTGATGCTGTGGGTTGACTGCTTTCTTAGATGGCCTAAAACTAAATATGATTTTGTTGTGAAAAAAAAAAAGGGTTCTTTTGTAGTCTAGTAGGGATTCTGCTATGAAGCTTTTATTAAATATCCTTGCACAGTCTTGAATTCAAAGCAATACAGAGGAAAAAAAATCAATTTTTTTAACGTTAACAGAATGCTTAAAAACTTAAAAGGACTACAAATGTTTCATTGGATTTTGATACTACATACTTTGGTTTTAATTTGTTGTATCTCCACAATTTTACTATTATGCAGCAATAAGTATTAAGCCATATTTAGGATTTTACTTACTCAAAAAAAATTAATGGACGGTTTTTCATGTTCAAGCCATCATGCTGGCTTGAGAAGCAGGGTTGGGTGGTGGGAGGATGTAATGGTTAGCTTATTTTCCTCAAATCAGAGCCATTTAGATACTTTTACAACTATTGCTTAAAATCTCTGCAGCAAGAACTTGCCATTAACAGGGCAGCATATTCCTCTGTCTTCTATTGTAATTGAAAGAAATTATTTTTCACCATAGTCCAACACCACCTACCTCCCATCGGCCACCTAGTTCTGACTTCTAGAGCAACACCAAGCCAGGCCAATGCTTCATTCTTGGAATTCTCTAAGATAAAAATTCCAAGTACTGCAACTTCCTTTTTCTAACCCAGCTATAAGGTTTCATATCAATTATCATTAAATTTCATTGTATTGGTTTCATCAATTACTCACTTTATTGAGCTATCCAAATATTTATTCTGGGATTCATTACATTAGATACTTCTCTAAGTTTGTCTTTCTGCCTTTGAAATACACTGGGACGACAATTAAAATGATAAAAGTATCAGACATCTTTATTTTTCAGCTCAGGAAAAATAGGATGGTGATGAAAAAAATTATTTAATTCACCTTTAAAATTTCTCATGTGGGCTTCTTAGAAATACTTAACTTTCATTTTAAAATGGTACATAAAATAGTCATACACATGCACACATTTTTCTTTTTTAAATATCTGAAACACATTTTAGCCTGATGTATGAAATTAGATAATGTAAACAGTGACAGATGTTTTACTGTACGAAAATATTTCCTGAATAATCAGATTAAGCTCATGAATTAGAGATGATTTCTTCAAATTTTATAAACATGACTTTGGTTAGAATAATGAAAGATTCAATTTTCCAGTGATACAAATTTTATTTGAAATAGTCACACTATATCCTGGCTTTGAAATAAAACTTGCATCTATCTTTAAGTTGTGAAGAGTGTTTTTGGGTTATCATACACCATACTAACACTTCTTGAAGAAACTGTTTAGAGTGAATATTCCAATTTTAAAGAAGCAGATTGGCTTCAAAGAAATCACGAGATAGCGCAGGGCATGTTTAGCTCTCTCTAGAGTCAGGTTTGAGTTTGCTTAGAAAGGCCTGGCACTGGGCGACATGGCAGGAGACAGCATAAGATTTTGGCTCTGTCATTGATATAGCCTTGGATAGATTATCACTTCTTTGGGCTTTAATTTAAATAGCAGTTCAATTAGATCATGTTCGAGACCCCTTCCATTGAACAACCTGCTCTCTTTTAGCAGGTATGAAACGACCAGTCCGGTCAGAACTGAATAAACCACCCCATACCAGCAAAGACCTTTCCTAATGTGGATGAAACCTCTAGGGAGCTGGAGCACAGGCTTACATTTATCTTTTACATTAAGCTAGTTATGGTGTCTAGGTAAAGGCAGTTATTTGTATTTTATTTTGCTATTCTCATTACAGATAAGACAAGGTAGAATTCATTCCACCTAACCCAGTACAAGCTATCTCTCTAAGAAAGGGAGATTAGTAGTAGCTGGTATTTGGTATCTTCATAAAGAAGATATTTTGAAGTAGAAGAGGCCGAGAGAAGATAAACCAGGTTGTTCTATATACCTATAAACTGTTTTTTTTTGTATATGTCTAAAAACAAATATAAATTCTAAACAAGAACAACAAAAGGCAAATTTATCTACTCCTTTGGCTTCCCCCACCACCTCTGCTCTGTCTTTTCTCCCTTAGAAGCATTGATAATGTATTTCCATAATTCCTTGAACTCCTTTTGTCACAGAAGAAAGCAGGTCTCATGGAGCAATTTCTATGAACAGAACTGGATGTGCTGGTGTTTCTCTAGAGTAATTCATCATTAAGAACTACAGAATGTTATCTCTTGACAGGCAAAAAAACATTAAAATGCAAATTGTTAGCAAAAAATCATTCTCTCTTACATTGCTGTTAGCGTTTTTTAATTTAATTTCTTCTGAAGTTTTTTCTTTTCTTTTCTTTCTTTCTTTCTTTTTCTTTTTCTTTTTTTTTTTTTTTGCATAGGGTTTCCCCATGTGGCTGTAACTGTACAATGTATGAATTCCTCCTCTTGTTTTTCAATGTTTTCACATAGTCTTTAGTGGCCATGCACTAACCCCCAGAGGCAAGTGGCACAGTTTGCTTGACCGCCATTCCTTTTAAGTTGAGTCTTCCAGGGTATTTTGAGGGTTGAATAAAGCAAGGAAATGACACAGAGTAATTATACCTCAGTATTGAAACCATGGGGTCACTGGTAAGCAGATGGACTAGAGATTTTGAACATGGGGAGAAATTCGTGGGCCTCATGTTCTGAGTTAAAGAGAAGCCCCTCATGGTCAATTCTTTTTCTTTCTTCCCTCTTACAATTTCAACAGCTTTATTTAGATCTAACTCATATGCTGAAAAATTCACCTGTGTACAGTATACAATTCAATGATTTTTAGTATATTCACTCAGTTTGTGTAACCATCATTATAGTCAACTTTACAACATTCATGGTCAGTTTCTATGGATCATGAGAAGCTAAATACTTTTATTCCATATGGCATTTGAAATCAGTTTCCACCTATTATTTTTATACTTATTTATTAAAAATTGTGTTTCTCAAACCAAGACCAGTATGTTAATAACACTCCATAACTGGTGTTTCTACCTCTGGATAAGTAGGAGTGTTACTATGATTCCCTTATACCAGCACACATGTGGTCAATATCAGTCAACATGTGAGAGAGCAGATAGCAAACAGTCTTTTTTCCAGGGCCAGGCTGACTTCTGGGTTCCTACTGCTGGCGCTGTGTTTGGATCTACCTTCACTTCTGTCAAGAGTTGGGAGAGCTGATGATTCTTTCTGCTTGGGTCCCTCCTGGCTTTCAGGCATCAGCCCACTCCTGATTCTAGGTAATCCAGTGATACCCAAGAGTCTGCTTCAGTGCCATGGCCACCTTTCCCAGGGCACTTGGGCTTGCTGAACTTATGCTGTGCTGCAGTTTTCTTCTGCTGAGTGCAGATCCCAGCCCCTGATATCTGCCTGGCCTTCTCCTCAGTGCAATCAGGCACAACTGATGGGCACCATTCTGTTGTCATCCTCTTGTACTACTTTGAAATGATGAATGATTTTCTATATTTAAAAAGGGTTCACTTCATTAATTAAGGATAAGAAAGCCCTTATTTCAAAGGTCATGTTTCCAAATTAAAGATTTGAAAAACAGACTAAGAACAGGGGAATAACCTAGACCAAAAAATAAACTTTTGTAATTTTTTTTTGTAAAGGATGTTCAGTATGTATTATTTAGAAAGTGAAAATATCCAAAAAAGGGTAGTTAAGTGAATTATGATATTTCTCCATGACAAAATTATTTAGCTATTGATATTGGTTAAAAGTCTTTGATGATGAATATAAATGCTTATAGCATAATATTTGTTCAGAAAATCAGGACATAAAGTTGCCTGCTGAGACATGGAACCACCATATGACTCAGCTATACCATTCCTTGATATTCATCTTGGAGAATTAAAATCATTGTACTACAGTGATACACGTATACCCATGTTTATGGAGACACAATTCACAATAGCGAAACTATAAAACCAGCCTAGGTGAGCATCAACCAATGAATGGACTAGGAAAATGTGTTTTATATATACACAATGAAGTTTTATTCAACCATAAAGAAAAATGAAATTTTATCATTTGCAGGAAAATGTATGGAACTAGAGACCATTATGTTAAGTAAAGCAAGAAACTCAGAAAGTCAAGGGACATATGTTTTCTTTCATACGTAGAAGCTAGGGAGGAAAAAGGAAAAGAAAGGTGGGGGCGGATCTCATGAAAATCAAAGGGAGATCAGTAGAGGAAAAGAACCAAAGGATGGAAGGAGGAGAAGGAGAGAGGAAGTGCTGGGAGTGATACTGGCCAAATTTTATTCCTATATTGTATATTGTATGCATGTACAAATATGTAGCAGTAAATACTATCATTGTGTACAACTATAATGCAATAAAAATGTGTAAATAAATTTTAAACATTGCTTACTAAGAATGCTGTCAACTATGTAAAACACATGCACTAAAACAACAAAAAGAAAAAATAATACCAGAAGGAAGTACGCTGTTTGAATCTCTTCTTAGGTGCTGATTATTTTCTCTTCGAAGCTTTTCTGTACTTTCTAAAATGGGTAAGTATCCTTTTTACAACCAGAAAAAGTACATTAACTTTTAAAAAAGCAAATTTGCTGAAGTGTACTTTACTTTTATTTATTCTTTTTAGTTATACATGTTAGTAGAATGTACTCGGACATATCATACATACATGGAGTTTAACTGCCCATTCATGTGGTTGTACATGATGTGGAGTTACACTGGTCATGTATTCATAAATGAACGTAGGAAAGTTATGTCTGATTTATTCTACTGTCTTTCCCTTCACATCCCCTGACCTTCCCTCCATTCCCCTCCATCCCAATCCAGTGAAGTCCTCCGTCACCTGAAGTGTACTTTTTTTTTTGAAGTTGTCAGTGAAACTTTGTTGTATTTATTCATTTATATGTGGTGTTGAAGTTTGAACCCAGTGCCTCACACATGCCAGGCAAGTGCTCTACCACTGAGCCACAACTCTAGGCCTAAAGTGTTCTTTATAGATATGAAAACATATGTCCACATAAAGATGTACATGTGAATGTTTAGGTAGATAGCTAGGGATGAAATATATACTTTTATGGGAAGCTTTATATTAACGTTTTGAGAAACTGTCAAACTGTTTTCAAAGAGGCTACATTAACTTTTTGTCAACTCCTTCTAGGATTTAAAATCTACCTCTAAGCATTTAGATATACACCTGGATCTGTTTTTTTCATGTCCTCAGCAGATTTAGTTGGTGAATTAAGAGAGAAACTATTATAAAAATTATGCCCATACTTGTATGTCATTATTATAAAATTCATTAATAATGATTCCTATATAGCCTTCAGATTTCCCTAAATTCCCAACAAACAATACTGTCACTTGGCTTTTCTGAGTTGTGGAAATTTCTATCACAAAGAATCTCACTATTCAAGAAGGAAGTGTACCTTTTGCCCAGTCACCTGGCTCTTTTGGAAAATTTTTATAGTTACCCAATAGGCAGTCTCACCTTGAAAAACGCTGATTGACTTTAGATAGAATCTAATCAAGAATCTAATGAACATTGAGCACATGCCCAGTGCTCTTCAAGGAACTTTGCATTATAGAAAAGAAATCCTGTATTGTCTTTCCTTCAAGAAACTTACAACTTGACTGGGAAGACAAAACTAAAAACGTATTAAACGGATCTCAACAGATTTGGCTGATGGTACTTTGTTTTGGGATAGAAAACCAGAAAAATTACATTAGGCAGGAAAGCAGAGGCCCCGGGATTTATTTGTTTGGGGGAAGTATAGTTCTAGTCACTAGAGATAAAGGAATGAACAAAGTAGACAAACTTCCTACCCTTAGAGAGCTTACGTTTCAGAAGGACATGAAAACAGGCAAAAAAGTAATATACATAATATATTACATGATGGCAGTGGAAAACGAAAGCAGGAAAGTGAGATAAGAAGTTGGGTGGATGTAAATTACAGTAGCATGGCCAAGGACTATGTCTTTTAGAAGATGCTACATATGAACAAAGACCTGAGGAAGCGAAGGAATCAGTCACAGGCTATTCAATGGAAATAATGCTCTGGCCACAGGAACAGCAAGTGCAAGGACATAAGGAGGGATGTACCTAACAGTTTGGAGAAACTACAAGAAGACAGCATAGCTGCAGTGAGCAAGAGTGCGAGTAGCAGGTGATCAGATGACAAAAATAATGAGGGAACAGTTTGGGCAGGACTAGAAACATCGTCTTCTACCCTGCTAGGATGGAAATCCCATGGAAGGTTTCAGGCAGTGGGGTGAAAAAACTGAATGTATTTTCACAAAATCACCATGGCAGCTGTGCTAGGAGTAGACTGAGGATAAACAGAAAGGTGAAGGCACAGGGATCAATTGGGAGGCTGTTGACATCATCTCTCAGAAGACGATGGAGGCTTGGACCAGGATGACTGCAGCAGAGCTGATGAAAAGTTATTGGCTTCAGCATGTTTTGAAGCAGGGAGGCACCATGAACAAAAGACAGAGGTATTTAGGGCACCCTGAAGAGTTTATTTGACTAGTGCAGACAATGACAAGGTTGGAGATGATGGGTAATTATGGTGAAATTGAATCTGATAGAGGATATAAAGGAGTTCTGAGTCAGAAAAACAGAGTTACCCTTATATGTTAGTCTGCTAGGGCTGCCACAAGAAATTCCATAGGAAGTTATTTTGTTCACAAAATCCCATATCAAGGTACCAGCTGATTTGGTTCCTAGTGAGGACTCTCTTCCTGGCTGATAGCCCTTTTCACAACTAGGCTTTTCCTCTGTGCTGGCACGAAGAGAAAAAGCACAGTTTCTCTTGCTTTTCTTACGAGGGAACCAATACTATTGGATGAGGGATCCACTCATTA